AGGATGTAATGTTATTTTTTCTCTTCATCAATGGAATTCTGCAGTAGATATCAAGAAGACGGATAAAGCATATAATACATTGGTGAAGATATTTTATTCTAATATGCATGATATTGATAGAGATGATCACAAGTTTAAGTCCCTTGTGAGGAACACAAGTTTTGAAATAACTCCAGAGTTAGTTTCAAAAATATTGGGAGTTCGCCGACCCTTCATTCCTAACAATACCCTTACCTATCCATTCAAGAATTTTAAGGACATACCTAAGCTGAAAGATGTTCATGCAGAAATTAAGGGTATACCTAATAAATTTAGTGAAAGTGTTGACAATCCAGAATTTTTTTAGCAAGACTTTACTCCCAAATATAGGATGTTAAATCTTATAGTGGGGTACAATATTATACCAAGAGGACATATTGCTAATTTTGGACTCGATTGAGCTCATCTCTTGTATGTCATTGGAAAAGTTATATGCATAGATTTACCTTGTTTAATAGTTGATGAAATTATTTCGGTACAAGGTATGAAGGATAGGTGACGATGTCTCCCATTCCCAATTTTGATTTCAAAGATTATGGAGGATTGTGGAGTTGTGATTCACTCAACCGACACTTATTCCACTCCCATGAATCCAATTTATGGTGAGACAATAAAGAAGAGTTTGGGGCAAGGGAAGAAGAACAAAACACAGCAACCACAGTCACAAGTCGAGAATGAAGTTGAAGCTGAGGATGATGAAGCCCAAGCCTAGGATGTCCCAAATTCTTCCACCGCTGGTGTCCCAAATTCTTCCACAGCTGGTGTCCCAAATTCTTTCACAATTGGTGTCCCAAATTCTTCCAAAGTTGGTCTTCCTCCTGATCCATTGCAGATATATGGAATGTTGCTGGTACGATTGGGCAGAAAGATGGAAGAATTTGAAAATACTCAAAATGAAATAAAGGAGACTGAAAATGAAATAAAGGAGTCTCTAAAGGGGATCGATAGTAGGTTGGATAGAATTGAGTCTTTTTTTATGAAAAACAAAGAAATAACTAGGAAGTGATAATTGTAAGTAATTGTAGTTGTTGGTTTTTGATATAATAGTTGAACTAGCAGTAGTGACAATTGTATGTAATTGTAGTTGAACTAGCAATAGTGTTTTTGTCAAAAATCTAAAATATCTTTGTTCTTTATACATAAAATAAGCATGGTAATGGTTGTGATAAGCATGGTTGTGGTAATTTAGTAGTAAGATTATAAATTCTTACCGTAATTTTACCTCTAAAAATACACTAAAAAAGTTGTATTCTTACACCGTATACACTAAAAATTTGATTAATTGACAATTATTTTAGATGTTAATTTATTGAATTAAATGTTAATTGAATGGATATGAATGTTAATCTAATTTGATGAGTTGAATGGTAGATGGAAGTTAATTTGATAAATTAAATATAAATCGATGAAATTGAACGTTAGTTTAACAAAGTGAATTTTTATTGGATGTTAATTGAATGAATTAAATGTTAATTGAATGATTATGGATATATATTGGATGAATTTAATATTAATTAAGTTGAATTTTTATGTTAATTTGATGAATTGAATGTTTTAATGTAATATTAATTTGTTATGTTAATTAAGTATTTAGTCTCTTGCTGGTAGATGCAGTTTGTGTGAGGTGGAGGAGGAGAGTTCTAGTCATTTATTTGTTAATTGCAAGTTATTCTCTTGCTGTATGGAGAAGAGTGTCTGCTGTTATGAGATTTGAGATTTTGATGGGTGAATCTCCAATCTGCAGAATGTTGAGATTGATTAAAAAATGTAGAGCTCAATCCCTGAGTCATACTTTGATCAGGGGAGTTTCTATGCTAATCTTTTGGGCCTTATGGAAAGAGAGATGCAGGAGAAGATTTGAGGGGTTGAAGCTGAATACTNCTTTTGGGCATTATGGAAAGAGAGATGCAGGAGAAGATTTGAAGGGTTGAGGCTGAATACTTTTGGTATTTTCATGCAGGTGGTTAGTGCTTTGAGATGGCAGGTTTTTATGATTAGACCTAAGAGGGAGGATGGGATATTGGGTAAGGTGATGCTGCAAGATCTTAAAATTGTGTGTCCTTTGTCTGTGGTCACCTCAGTTAAATGGATCAAATGGGAATCCCTTCCTTTGAACATGGTGAAAATGAATATGGATGGTGCCTCCAAGGGGAGTAGTGGTTTGTCTGGTGGTGGGTGGTTAGTGCTTTGTTTAGCTTTGCTAGATGGTTTAAAGTTGACTATGCAATATGGTTATGAGGACTGCCAATTTTTGATAGACTCTAATTCCCAAGTGTTGGTTCAGATGGTGTTGGGATAAGTAGATGCTCGGAGGTTAAAGCGAGTTCTGGATGAGATCTGGAAGCTTCTTGGGACTTTGCAGTTTCAGTTTAAACATGTGTATAGGGAGGCAAATGATATTGCTGATTTCTTAGCTTCATATGCTGTTTAGACTGAGATGTCTACTGATTTTTCTGTCAATAAAGTAATGCCAGCAGCTGGAAGAATGCTATTACTCCAGGATCAGGCAGAATGAGGTGTGCCATCATAAGGAATGGGGATGAGTTTTGCAGAATGCTCAACATGTATTATCAGCAGTAGTGGAGTGTAGTACTATCAGCAGCTGGATGGTAGTGTACAGATAATCTGAACATTTCTGTGACAAGAGTTCTGAGAGGGGGTGCAGTTATGCAATTAAAACTGGTTTTGGTCCTCTTGAAGGATTAAAGCCAGTTTATGTAATATACAGTTTCAGACTGGGAATAAGTGCTCATTTTGAACTGTTGAAAGGATGAAAGTGCAGATTTTTTTAGTAGCTAAAAAGTGGTCCTCTGTGTTGTCGTAAATTGTTGAGCAGTTGAAAATTGGAATAGATTGGTATGCTGGGATGAAGATGGCAGAATGGAACTGGTGCTTTGCTACAGTCTGTTCTGTGTACTGGTGCAGTTTACTGAGCAACGAAACTGGACTGGGCTGGTTTGCTGGGATTGAGTTGGTAGGTTGTTACCTAGCAGTTTCAGGAATGTTGCATTTGTACAAAAAACTTGTTTTGCTTTGTTGTTCTGTTTTATGTTATATAACAAAAAATCTGTTTGTAACAGTTTTCTATTTTTTTTTGGTTTTCTGTTAAAACAGATTATGTTTTTTCAGTTAAACAGTTTCTGTTTTTTGATTCTTGTAATTTTGAGATTTATACAATAAAATTTGAGATTTAAAAAAAAAAGGAAAAAATAAAAAGATCCCTAGATCCCACTCTTGATCGCTATTGCACCGATCGGTCTCAAGCTCTTGGTTGTTACTCTTGCAAACCTGATCCCACTCTTGATCGCTACTCTTGATTGAAAACCTCACTTGATCCCACTCTTGATCGATCAAGGATCGCTACAAACCTCACTTGATCCCACTCTTGATCGCTACGTTGATCGGATCCCACTTGATCGCTAATTGATCCCAATCTTGATCGCTACTATTGATCACTACCTAGATCTTGGTTGTGATTGGATCACTATTCTTGATTGCTAAATGCTCTTGATCGGTCCAAAAAAGTGGTAATATTAACCGAGGTAATATTAACCAAAAAAAGTGGTACTTACCTCAAAAGCGTAATGTTAACCAAAAAATTGGTAATGTTAATCAAAAGTTTGGTAATGTTAACAAAAAAAAAATAGTACTCTTAACCCAAAAAGGGTAATCTTAACTAAAAAAGTGGTTTTAACCAAAAGAGTGGTAATGTTAAACTAATAAATAGTAATGTTAACTAAAAAACTGGTTAGATTATTGAAAAAATTGTACTCTTAACCAACAAAATGGTACTCTTACCTCAACAGTGGTAATCTTAACCAAAAAAATTGTAATCTTAATCAAAAGAATTGTAATGTTAACCAAAAAAGTGGTACTCTTAACCAAAAAAGTGTAATCTTAACCAAAAAAGTGTAATCTTAACCAAAAGTAATGTTAACTTAATCAATGATAATGTTAACCAAAAAAGTTGTACTCTTAACCAATAAAATAGTGCTCTTACCTAAACATGTAATGTAATCTTAACCAAAAGAGTGGTACTCTTAACCAATGAGAGATAATCTTAACCAAAAAAATGGTAATATTATCCAAAACAATAGTACCTTAACCAAAACAGTGGTACTCTTAACCAAAATAGCGGTAATCTTAACCAAAAAAGTGGTAATATTATCCAAAACAATGATACTCTTAACCAAAACATTGGTAATCTTGCCTCAAATAATGGGTAATTTTACCAAAAATGTGGTATTGTTACAAAATAAAAGTGATAATATTATACGAAAAAAGTTGTATTCTTACACCCAAAAAATTTGTATTCTTACACCCAAAAAATTTGTATTCTAAGCCCAAAAAATTTGTATTCTAACCCAAAAATGGTAATGTTAACCAAAAAAGTCGTAATATTTCTCTCAAAAGAGGTAATCTAACCTAAAAAAAAAGCAATCTTACCCAAAAAAGTTATAATCTCGCCTCAAATAAATGGTAACCTTATTAGAAAAAAGTGGTATTTTTAAAAAATAAAGGTGATAATGCTATACCCAAAAAGTTGTACTCTTACACCCAAAAAAGTTGTATTCTAAGCCAAAACAAGTTGTATTCTAACCCAAAAAATTGTAATGTTAACAAAAAAAGTGGTAATCTTGCCTCAAATAATGGGTAATCTTACCAAAAAAGTGGTATTGTTACAAAATAAAAGTGATATGTTACACTCAAAAAGTTGAATGTTTACACCCAAAAAAGTTGTATTCTAAGTCCAAGAAAGTTGTATTCTAACGCAAAAAATGGTAATGTTAACAAAAAAATGTGGTAATCTTTCCCTCAAAAGTGGTAATCTAACCTAAAAAATAGAAATCGTACCCTAAAAAGTAATAATATTGCCTCAAATAAATGGTAACCTTATTAAAAAAGTGGTATTTTAACAAAATAAATGTGATAATGTTATACCCAAAAAGTTGTTGTTTTACACCAAAAAAAGTTGTATTCTAAGCCAGAGCAAGTTGTATTCTAACCCAAAAACAAAATGGTAATGTTAACCAAAAAAAGTGGTAATCTTGCCTCAAATAATGGGTAATCTAACCTCAAATAATTGGTAATCTTACCAAAAAAAAGTGGAATTATTACCAAATAAAAGTGATAATATTACACCCAAAAAAGTTGTATTCTAACCGAAAAAGTTGTAATGTTAACCAAAAAAAATGATACGTTTACCTTAACACGGTCATCTTTCCCTCAAAAAGTGGTAATCTTCTCAAAAAAATCGTAATCTAACCCAAAAAACGTGATAATATTGCCTCAAAAGATTGTTAATCTTACCAAAAATAGTGGTATTCCGACCAAATAAAATTGATAATGTTACACCCAAAAAGTAGTATTCTTTATATATAAAATGCGCTTGGCTCTTGTGGAAATGCATCATTCCTATAGGGAAAGAAATGTAGACTCTTTAGCCAACCAAGGAGTTTGTGACAATGCTTCTCATACTCATACTTCCCCTTCACTCTCAATCTACATACGCGACAACTGTTACTACAAGATCAACAACAAATTAAATCTAATAACGCCAAAAAATTACTAAAGCAATAAATGTTGGACAGTAAAATATTTTTTACAACAAAGGCCTTTCGCTTTCAATAATCCGAAAATGTCTTTGTTGCATAGATTATCATGAATAAAACTTTTTATTGTATGGAAAACATATCATGGAACACCAAATTGTTACCGACACATTAACTTAACCCTCACAGACATATTGATTGGTTGTATTAATGAGGAAGATACTACTATCACAACGACAATGAAAAAGAATGTCAGCATGCATAATGTATAAGTTTCATTTAATACATAAGTTGAATGGTCAGAAGGAATGAGAATGTTATTGGTGTGTCAACACAATTCAACATGATCTGACAAAATATCATCCAGTAATAAAAGACCAAATAGAAATTTTGTAATTAAAGTTAATCCAATGTCAGGGGAGGCAAAAGTACAAAGCTTAGAACAATCAAAGCAAGGAAGTGTCCCTTCTCCAGTAGGCAGCACCTCCTCTACTCCCATCCTTGCTGCCCCAAACTCAAACAACTTGATAGGGAAGATGGAGAAGACATGCTAGAATTCAAGCTGCAATTACAAGGAGCAGACTTTGCACAGAAAAATCAATCTTAGGCATATGTCAATTACCAACAAATATCACAAAAGGCTAAAAATGAATCTTTTGGAAGGTTGGCAAAATCGAGTTACAGAACATACTCATAAAGCTAAAGACACACACATATGTTATCAACAAAGTACACATCCTGTAACAAAATTGAGAATTTTACATGTTGCAAGTGATTGAACTGAAGGCACGTGGAAGTCATGGAAAAAGAGTACCAAGTTGTAGGTAATGGATCAAGAAATAAAGCTTACATGAACTTGGTTCTCATTGTAGCATGGAGCTTCTCTAAAGTATCCATGAAGAGTCTTGGACAGGCTACACCATCCTCATATCTAGCCAGAGAAGGTGGATATGGATGATAGTTTAAGGGTGTTTCTTTCATAGGCAATGGACTCTGTTTAAGAGTGGAACATGATGCCATTTCCAACTTGGGGTAAGTGTACCATTTTTTTTTGGTAAGAATACCACTTTTTTTTTTTTTGGTAAGGATTCCTTTTTTTAGCTGCAGTTGCCTACCCTTCTTCGTCAACACTTTCTGAAGGGTTGTGTAATAATTCTTGCATCGTGCTTTATTGAAATAGCACTGGTACACCATATGGCTATGAAATCCGACAACCTGTTCTTACCATGTGAACATATTAATGTGAATGAAGTCATATTATGGAAAAAAAATAAAAGAACAATCTATCATAAAACATAGCACATACCTGCAACAATTATATCTCATTCAACAAGTATATCTCACCAACAACAAACTTTCACCTATTTAGCATTGATACTATTGTGAATAAAACTATTTATATGTAAACTACATTTGAAAATGGCGTGCACACTGCTATTTGTATATGTGTGCATGCCAATTCAGGTGTAGGTTATATATAAGTAACTCTGACATACAGTAGCCTGGAGGCACCTGAATGATGAAAACGAAGAAGATGAAAAGAATTTATCTCAAAAGCAATATACGTTATGTTATATATAATAGTCCCTACTAAACAAAAAAAAAATGCAAATAAAAAAATACCGCTTGTATGACTACTTGTCAAAGTCTTTGGATTCCATTAGAGCAGGAATGGATGGTAAGAATGATGGATAAGAATGGTTAGTGAGAATGGTTTGTTATATAAGGAATGACTCCAGATTGTTCATATTTCTGTTCATCTTCCTCATCAACGTACTCCTATGTTCTAACCTTCGTCCTTTCTCCATTTGCTTTGATTTTTTCCAAGAAATGATAAGGCAAAGGATGACAAAAGGCAAAGGGATCCATTAAAAAAAATGGTCTGCACAAAAAAATAAACGGTATCTACATATTTTTGCACATCAAACATCCCAAATCACCAAAATCACCCAAACAAAACTTCATGGTCAGCAAAACACAGACAAAAAAAATTTTTAATTCAGCAAAATACAACCACCAACCCATGGCCAGCAAAACATAGGCAAAAAAAATTGATTAACCAAAACAAGGCAATTGATTCAGCAAAACATTGGCAAAAAAGAATTGATTCCAATTTAGCTATATCTGTTTATACAAAAAAATCAGTATTTGCACTAAATCAAGGCCATAAACAATATACATTACTTCAACTTTTGTATACAAAAAAAAAAAAAAAGAATATACCACACTTATCATCTCCGATTTTTACCACAATTCTTTTGTTGGTGTTGTTGTGTCTTGCTTATGATCTTGTTTCTTGATTCGTTGTATATGTGAGTAACAATTTTAAATGCTAGATCCTTCCGCATCGTATTGGATTCATCCTAAAAATAATAACCAATAACCACAGTTAAATTGACAAATGATACATATACAAATTTAATTTAGTACTATTAAATATTAAATAAGGAGAATAATTATCATATCATAATTCTAAATGATTGATCCAAAATTTGAGTATGCATCTCCTTTATGACAAATATTCCACAATCATAGCTATTTGTTTGCCTAGGAGCCCAATCCACTCCATATATGTGCCACTTGGTCAGTGTTGGTGTATAATTAGGTATGATAAGCTAAAGGACTTGATCTAATTATTTAATCACATTTGCAATAGCAGAATAACAGATATTGTTGGGATATAATGGTAGAGAATCAAAAAGTAAAACTTTTTCCTTCACTATATCCACCACGCATAAATACCAATGGGTGTTATTGTCGTTCATTGGTATATAGATCTACATAAAGAAATACAAGTTATTAATTATTGTGTAAATGATCAATTATAAACAAAAAAAAATAGGACATCTACGTACCTTATCACAGTCCTTGAAATCTGAAACAAAGTATCTTTGAAAATCAAGCAATCCAATTATTTTTTCTTGTTCGTTTTCTTGCCTTACCCTTCCATGTGCTTTTTGCTAGGTATTGAAGGTAAAATATGGCTACACATTTAACCCACATTGTACATGTTCAAGATTAAAAAATTCAAATAAACAACATTACAAAAGTCAAATAAACCACATTACCGCAAACCATGTGGGTAGATACCACCTTGCCCTTTTTGTAAAAAGATTAAACTTCACATCATCCGGAATAATACAAGATGTCAAATCTATTATCTCCAGGTCAAAAATGTACAAAATCAATACTTGGTCAATATAAAAAACACATAACATAAAGATGTCCATTTTTAACTCACAATGTCTAACAACCATTTTCTTGGTTTTAGAGATTTAATAAATGAATATCTGTTGGCCGAACATGTCTCAAATCTCACAAGTGTCTCACTGTTTCATGAAAAAAACTAGATTACTAATTGGTGATGCTCCCACAATATATAAGAATAATAGGTGAGAATTGGTATATAGTATAAATACCTCATGTCAAGTGTGTTGTCAAATATGTAATCCAAGACACACATTTTATCATAATCACTAATTTCATAAATGTGTGGATAATCCACATCTGATGGGGTCTACAAACTGGTTAAATCTGAAATCTACTTATTAAATATAATGAAGAGTATCATTAAATGTGACACAATTGTTTAAATAAAGTCAATACAGAGATTTGTTTAAACAAACGTTTAATATGGAGTACAAAATTAAACCTCATGAACCGCATGTTTGAGGGAATGTGAAAAGTTGTTATGTCTTCGAGAACTTTTTGTATTTTCACTTCNCATAGCTATTTGTTTGCCTAGGAGCCCAATCCACTCCATATATGTGCCACTTGGTCAGTGTTGGTNTGGTTATGTCTTCGAGAACTTTTTGTATTTTCACTTCGGCCTTCTCATCATCCTTTGTTATTTTTTCAACTATATATACATCAACACCAGACTCATGCTTATTTACAACTTCCTACATCTTCTCCTCTTCATCTTTATTTACATTCACCTCCTCTTCATCCTTATTTCTAGTNGGACTTGATCTAATTATTTAATCACATTTGCAATAGCAGAATAACAGATATTGTTGGGATATAATGGTAGAGAATCAAATAATAAAACTTTTTCCTTCACTATATCCACCACGCATAAATACCAATGGGTGTTATTGTCGTTCATTGGTATATAGATCTACATAAAGAAATACAAGTTATTAATTATTGTGTAAATGATCAATTATAAACNTCCTCCATCTCCACCTCTTCATCCTTATTTCCAGTTGCCTCCACCTCCTCGTTTTCATACTTATTTTCATTCACCTCATCTTCATCACCCATCTTTACAGCTTCCTCCATCTTCTTTTCAGTTTCCTCGATGTCCTTTCCAGCTTCCTCCATCACCTTGTCAAACAAGGTTCGATTATTGTCCAACTATGATAACACACATGGAGCAGTATTATAATGCATTATCGTTTAATCTTCTAATCAAGTAAAACCACAATTAGGTTTGACGTGTTATACAGCCGCTATATCTGTCGGGTCCTTCTTCAAGATAGTTTTTTCATACTTCTTCAAATAAAGTTGCTGCTTACACAAACAAGATTAGAGATTTGGAATATATAAAGATTTGGGAGGGGGTAGTTGGCCACAAACGTCAAATAGCTAGTCACTTGGAGATGATCGTATATCTAAGTGCATAATCATACTTAACCCAATATCCCTTTATTGTTAGCTTTCCACTGCTGCATGTTCTAGTATTATTACAAGTGTTAAACAAGAAGAATTGTTGTCTACCGCTCGATAGACTTGCTGCTCACTGCTTGCTCTTTCTCTACCTCCTAATTATATTTCCTAATTTTGTATAAAATGTTTATTATAAGAGTATCTTTAACATTAACTCAAATTTAAATTTGAATAAAAAAACTTAAAAAACTTGCTCAAACTTTAAACTCAAACTTATACCAAATTAAGAGAGACTCATATTTTTTTACTTAAATCCTTACTAAAATCTTTAATAGTGAGTTTGCACCATCTTTCAAAGATTCAATTTTCATCTTTATTCTCTTTTAAATTTAAGTTTCTTCTTCTTTAAATTTGAGTTTGTCTATTGGAGCCCTTTTTATCGAATCAAACTTTTTACTCAAATGTTAATTGAAATTTGAATAAAAATTTAAGTCATGGTTGGATATGCTCAAACAATACAAATTACGAAGAGATTTATGATATTGAAAATATAAATTTGGGACTATACCACTATTATAAATTGTGGGTTTTCTTTAATTATTTTTAAAGGTCATTTATAACTTTTATGGTAATTTAGCGTTAAAAAATTTCAATTCAAACCTTAAAAATTATAATAGAATCAAAAAAATATAATTTTTTTATTGTAAACAAATTTAAAAATTTATATCATAACTCACAAAAATTATAAATTAACTTAGGAGATACGGTACCAAAATTTATTTCTTTGTACTATAATCCTCTTTATTACAGAGAAGTCTACAAATATTGATGCAATATAATTACATACTAATTCTTTGATCACAGTCGGTAAGGCAAGTCTTTTTTAATAAACCAATACTTCCTTTGTCAAACCAACTGTTATGCAACTAGTACCTGTCAAAATTTAGATATATTAAGGTTTGATACAAATATGATTCTACTCATTTTATACTAAAAATTCAAATAATGCTATGAGACCTAAAAAACTAGATTTATGTCACTGGAAAACAATTTTTTAGTAGACAATTGCACCCAAAATATTTCAACATTAATGAAACTAAAAAACAACACGAGAGCCCGACGTCATTGCTTAAAACTCCATCAAGAGTATCAATATTGTCATAAACATAGTTGTATACATTATCACTATCACCACTTTGGCCTACACATATTAAAAAATAATGGACACCATTTTAGTGATGTAAATAATAGAATAATCTGCCATTATCACAATACATATGATGCATGCCAAGTTGTAAAAAAAAAAATAGCAATATGTGAAAGAAATTTAAAATACCGGAGGAACAATACATGATGGGTTCGGTTCAGGCCAGACCCAAAATTGTAGACCAAGCCAAGACCACGGATGC